AGTATTTTTACAGTCTTTATTTTACAGTTAAAATATATGTTTATTTAATAAAGTCTAATGTTACAACTAATCATGGATCCCTTTAAGTCATATTTCTGCACATTGACAACTTTTAATCAAATTAAGAACCAATGTGAATCCCAGGAACTTTTGCAAAGCATGTACTGATATCATGCCTGTCCTGTACCAACAGAGACAGTGCAGCTCACACCACCTCCTGCACTCCAGCAACAGGTTTAATTCTCAGATGTACCTTTTTCCTCCTCAAAGGTGATGAGTGCCTGTCCTCCTCGGAGCAGAACTGCAGCTCTCTGGCTGATGGTAAACACTCCTCTGATCAACTGTCTGCTGTCATCATCATCATCATCATCCTCTGTCTCCTCTTTCATTTGAGACAGAAACTTCACATCTGTGTTTGGAATCTGAGCGTAGATCTGAAAACAAAGACTTCCAGTTCAGTGTCTAGAACAATAAAACCAATTTGCTAAGTTAATATAAGTCTTATTGTTTAATAAGCTAACAACATTATGCAATTACTAAATATTGTATAAAACCAACAAATAATGAATCAGAAAGGTTTCAGAGAGGACCTGTAAAGTTCTGGTTCAGAGACAAGAAATTATGAATGTCTGGTTTAAGTGCCCTGTATGCTCCATATGAACTGCCAAAATCAGCTCAAATTTTCACAGTTGCGTGATAAAAATTGCGTSACTTTATTCACAGATTTGCGTCTTCCACCCCTTTTTCTCACAACCCGCCGTGAGAACTTTTTGCCCTTTGCCGCGCAAAACTAAACTGTGTGATCAGAAGTTTGTGGGCGTGTTTGGTCATGCTGAAAGTGCTCAAACACTGCATTTTGTTTTAAATACTTGATTCCAGAATCGGACTGTTGTACCCCGAAGCAGACTTTTATAAAGATAGTCAAACTCAACAATAAAACAGACGTTGTGCACGGAGGAATCTCTTTGACAAAAACTATGGAGCTTTAACCAGGGCTGATTCGTAAACAATCAACAGCAGTTATCTGATTTTTTTGTTGTTTGTTTTTGCCTGGAGTGTCGACTCGAGCAGGCAGAAACCCCATGCAGTGTTGCATTTCGCAGCCAGAGGTGTTTCCCAGAGCTTGTCTCAGGGGCTATGAAAGGTGCATGCAAAAACGAATGTCGAAAAACCACGTGACCGCACGTCATCCGTTCGGCTGCCTATCAACCATATTGGGCGCTTAAGAGAGAAAACAAAAAGGTCTTGTTCAGAGGTAAGAACTTAGCACAGATCTACAATCTCACCTTGAATTTTTCCTTCAGTTTCGTGGCCTCAGCTCGCTGAGCCTCCAGCTGGTCATGATATTTTTTCAGTTCATCCAGTAGATCTTGTTTTTGTTTGGAAAGCTTTTGGATTTCATCCTGTAGAAAAGAAAAAAGTTAAATAAATAAATAAATAAATAAATAAATAAATAAATAAATAAATAAAAGCAGTTTGGTTCCTGCAGATGTACTGTGCTACAAAAACAGCGAGGCACTAACCTGCAGAGTGTTTATGTTCTGGTCAAATTCCTTCTTAGAATTCCTCTGCTTGTCTGAATAAACCAGCATCTCCTGCTTAGCCTTCTTCTTGGCATCTTCTTCATTCAGTTTGTCCAAGACTAGCCTGGCTGCCTCATCATCAGCTTTCTCTACTTTCACCTAAACAAGATCACAGAGTATGGAATCAATTTTAAAGGTTACACAAAATGGAAGTAATAATGACCATTTTCAAATCCAAGATGGTGGACAGCCAATGTAAACAGTGACAACACCAACGTGTTCACTGATACTGAAAACATACTTACATATTTATAGGTCTAAGAATAAAAGAAATTGCATTTGATAGTCTTTTGTATTTAAATATGTTATCTGTAAGACAAGGCTATTGTTTGTGGTTTATTATTTTTATGTATGCATGTGTTTACAGTTGAAACCAGAAGTTTATATATACTATATAAAAATACATATTTCCTTTTTTATACTATCTGACATGAAATCAGAATAAATTTTTCTCATTTTAGATCAGTTACCAACTTTTTTTTATGTTGGCTGATTTTTTGTCTTTCTCATGATGTTTTACACTTGCAGTTTGACGCATTTTGCCTTCCATACTTTAGTAGCTTGACAAATTTAGCCTTCCACACATTAGTAGTTTGACACATTTTGCCTTCCATACTTTAGTAGCTTGACAAATTTTGCCTTCCACACATTAGTAGTTTGACACATTTTGCCTTCCATAATTTAGTAGCTTGACAAATTTTGCCTTCCACACATTAGTAGTTTGACACATTTTGGTTCCATAATTTAGTAGCTTGACAAATTTTGCCTTCCACACATTAGTTTGACATATTTTGCCTTCCGTACTTTAGTAGCTTGACAAATTTTGCCTTCCACACATTAGTTTGACATATTTTGCCTTCCGTACTTTAGTAGCTTGACAAATTTTGCCTTCCACACATTAG